CTGAGGACAAAACTGGCTTACTCCGCCTACCCACCAGGGACCACCCCTCCTCCACCTGAGCCCCTACTGGAGCAGAACCTTGGGACTCCCGGGACTCCCTACCGGGCCTCCTACTCCGCCGCAGCGGCAAGAGCAAGGGGGGAGCAGACACTGAGGGACTAGACCTTGCCTCAACCATCCCGGCCCTTTAGCAGCCTCCCTCAGCTGTTTCTTAGTCCTGGGAGGAGGAACCAACACACAAGGGGGAAACAACAGGGGACTCCAAAGGGGTAGACGAAACAGGGGGGACAGAGACAGGAGGGGCCACAGAAAACCTCCCCTTCCCTCACAAGGGCCGCCACAGCAACCAAAGCCGCTCTCTCCAATGCCGCCTCTGCCTCTTCAGCATCTATCTGATCCAACTCTGCTTCAAGCTCCCCCACCGGAAGGTTGTGGAGGGCCTCCGGCACTGGTTGTATGAATGCCCGAGCTCCCCGCAGAGACTGCATCGGACAACATTGCAGTCCCTGCCAGGTGTCCTATTTCCTGACACAGGGAACATCTAATGACGGGGCAGGTGGCCGCAAAATGCCCCTTGCCCCCATACTGGTGGCAGACCCTCGGCTGACCCGCATAAAAAAATTATCAGGCGGTCCCTTCCCTAGAAAAGCGGAAGAGGAATGTGCTGGAGCACATTTCCAACCACCTTTAAGCGGACGGTGGTCGTCCACCCACCTGTCCATATTCCCCTCTCATCCTTGATCTTCCCAAGGGCCCCATCACATCCCCATATCTACTTAGCCAGACCACAATATCTGATGCTGGGATGGATTCATTTCTCACCACACCGTTATTTTTTTAATCAGGGACTGGCGAGAGACGAGCCTCGGGGTTAGGCCCACCCACCTAGGGCTGGTGACAAAGGTGGCCTGATACCTCTGCCAAAAGAGGTCCAACAATTCTGGCCGCATGAAGGACACGTCATATTCTCCAGTACCAACTGGGAGCAATAAACACAAAAATATCCGCAGCACGGAAGCCCATTTCTAATATGCGGTCTATGACCTCTCTCTCCTGCTAAGGGGGGGGCCCTCCCCTGACCATTTCAGCTGAACACATTTCGCCTTGCGGCGGAAGTGGGTAGGTTACCTGCCCTTGCCCGGGCCAATCCCACTGACCCATGACCTCCCCTAACTGCAGCAGAGTAACTGAGCCCCGATCTAGCCCCAGGGGCACTCAACATCAAGGGCATAACCAGGGAAGCCGCCACACCAGCAGCAGCTGCAACTGAAGGGGCAATGCTGATGAAGCCATGACCTGGGGGAGCCCGGGGCTGGGGACCACCCATACCAGCAGGAGAACCCACCTGAGCCGGACCCGCAGGAGCCTGGACCTGAGAACCTGGAGCCCCCTGAGGAGAAACCGGGGGACCTGCTGGTTGCACACCAGAGGCCACCATGCCCCCCAAAGGGGCGGGGCCCAGTGGGACCACCACCGGAGGGGAAACACCCTTAGCCAGGGCTGTAGGGCTAACCTGCACCTCAGACAATTTTGCAGGCATTATACCCGCTACCCCAGTGTCCAGAACCATCTCACCAACACAATCAGCAGAGTCCTTCTCCCCTTCCAGTGGGCTCCCCTGCCTTTGCCAACACGTCCTTGGGGATGCGTTGCAGCATGACAAAGGCAGCATGCTCCCTTCACCACCGGCTTAGCCGGCTTGCGGGGGATGACATCACTTTCAGCTTCTTCCTCAGAGTCCTCGGACGTAAACCTGAAGTCGGCTCCACGCAGCTCTGCAACCGCCTCTGCCAGGAACTGCAATCCGCCCACTATCTCCTCCTCCTCCACCTGGGTCCCCCAATCCACAGGCAGCTGCCCAGGGGGGAGGGACTCTGATGATCCTGCCACCACGCTGTCTTCCATTTTAGACGCCATTTCCTCTGAGGGTGCTGTGGGCTCAACCTGCCCCTGCTCGCCTTCCACCAGCAACTCCCCCGACAATTCCTCCACCGAAGAGGCCTCCTCCACCGGACCCCGCATCGCCGCAACACTGCGGCTTCTTGCAGCCTTAAATCTCGCTTCATTCAGATACTTCTCGCTTAGGACGCCGCTCCCCTGCTGTGACACACGAAGTTCCAGCGCCTCCAGGTCCGGTTTCATGGCCTGCCGCTTAGTAGACCATACACGGTCGTAGGATGACCGGAACTTCTTTAGCTCCAGAGTCAGCTTCTGGAGCTTGGCTTCCTACTTGTCTATTAACCTGGCCCGAGCGGCCACACGGTCCGGTAGGCAGAATAAACTTCCCCCTTCCTAGGGGCCATTCCCAGGTCCTCTACTGGTGGAAAAGAGAGGCCGGTACTAGGCCCCTCCAGGGCCTTCTCCTCGCTGGACCCAGGCCCAGGATCCGCCATCCTGCCTGGGCTGGGCAGGGCACTTTAGCCCCAGGCTTCTCGGGCCTTTCTGGAGCTCAGCAGACAAGTGCAACACACCCTCTCTCAGGAATGAATTCACCAATAATGGTGGACTCAGCTGCCTTGTGATCTGCAGTACCAGGGCTGGCCAGCGGGTGCTCCCAGCAATCAGAGACTCAACCTTTCAGCCAGCTAACACCTGGAACTGATGATACTGGTGTATTTAAGGGATGGCCAGACTTGCAGGACTCTGCCTTGGTGTTGTGTTTGTCCTGGGCCCTGTATCTGTCCTGCATCCTGTTTCTGTTCCTTTGCTGACCCTGCCTGATCTGAACCGCTGCTGACTTCTCCTGCTCTGATCCCGGCTCGCTCCTGACCATCCCTCTGCCTGACCCTCTGTACCACGCTGCTTGCTACCTGTTCTGATCCCTGGCTTGTGACCCTGACCATCCCTCTGCCTGACCCTCTGTACCACGCTGCTTGCTACCTGTTCTGATCCCTGGCTTGTGACCCTGACCATCCCTCTGCCTGACCCTCTGTACTACGCTGCTAGCTACCTGCTGAACCTGGCCTGTGACCCCGACCCATCTCCGCTTGCTCCCCCTGTACCTCTACCTGCCCTATTGATATTGACCCGGCCTGCCTGACGACGCTTGCTTGTATGTACTGTTATCTGTGGGTGGTTGGTTTGGTTTGTTTGCACTGTATTATGTTTAGTATTGCACTGCGTTTATGTTTGTATGGTTAGTGTTAATAAATTATATTGTTTATCACATATCTGAAGTCTGCGTTTCCCTGCGTCAGTCACACACCTCTGGTCACACCTGGGAGCCCTGACATTACACCAAGGCAAATCCTGACCAGAAGTGGCTGCACAGGGAAGCCATCTTGGCTTGTTGCTGGGAAGGATGGATCTGGATGAGGTTGAGTATTTATCTCTGCTAGTGCTTGATGACAGAAAATATGCTTATCAGACTCTGAAGGAGTATTACCCGGGATGAACTGCTAGAATGTATACGGCTCGCTCATGTTCTAGTAGATCAGGGCACAGATTTCTCTATGGTGCAGCCATTGATTAAGGTTTGTGTTGAGTTGGTTTCATCTGGTTTCCCCGAATACAGGGATGAATTTTTGCCACCATTTAGTGCAGACCAGGTAGAGTCCCTGGTGTGGTTATTAGAGGATGATGTGGGTTACTTTCTGGAACGTTATTCCACATGTTCACCACAGATACTAAGAGATTGTATAAACGCAGTGCAGTCTTTGGTCAGACAGGCTTTGTGTAAGCTCAGCTTTGTTCAACCCATACTGCAGACATGGACAGACTTGTTGCACCCAGCCTCAGTCAGCTTACAAAGACCCAGTCCTGCTTCTAATCTATTTCCTCAAAGCTCTCTACTCCTGTAATTCCCAACAACTCCCCCAGTTACAGCCCAGTATACTTGGCTATCTACCGCATGTCAGTACCCTGTTCCCACTCGCTGCACCTATCCTGCCTTTAACCCTGTAAAAAAGCCCTCTGTAGCAACTGCTCCCTCTCCTGTTCCATCCTCCAGTTCTTCTCTGTCTCCAGCTGCTCCATTCGTTTGCAGACCTGCGTTTACTTGCAGTGCTCCAGTAGTTAAAAGAAAAAAAGCGAAAATTCTTTCCAACCAATACCATCCTGCCAGTATCCAAACCGGTGAACCTGCCTTCCGTGGTTCAGCCTGAATCCTCTACTCAGCCTGATGCCTGTACTCAGCCTGATGCCTGTACACAGCTGATGCCTCTACTCGGCCTGAAGCCTCTACTCGGCCTGAAGCCCTCTACTCGGCCTGGAGCCTCTACTCGGCCTGGAGCCTCTACTCGGCCTGAAGCCTCTACTCAGCCTGAAGCCTCTACTCAGCCGGACGCCGGCATTCAGCCTGATGCCTCTACCCAGCATGATGAACTGATCCAGCCTGACGATCCTATTAGGCCAGTTGACTCGATGCCCGCTGTTGATCCAGATGATCCGGTACCTGATCCGGTGCCCGCTATCGTGCCAATTGACTCAGAGCCCGCTGTCGTACCTGGTGACCCGATGCCCGCTGTCGAGCCAGACGATCCAATGCCTGGTGACCCGGTGCCCACTGTCGTGCCTGTTGACTCGGAGCCCACTGCCTTGCCAGATGACGCGGTGCCCGCTGTCGAGCCAAATGACCTGATGCCTGGTGACCGATGCCCGCTGTCCTGTCAGACGATCCAATGTCTGACCCAGTGCCCGCGGTCATACCAGTTGTTGACTCGGAGCCCACTGCCTTGCCAGATGACGCGGTGCCCGCTGTCGAGCCAAATGACCTGATGCCTGGTGACCCAGTGCCCGCTGTCATACCTGGTGACCCGATGCCCGCTGTCGAGCCAGACAATCCGGTACCTGATGACCCGGTGCCCACTGTCGTGCCTGTTGACTCGGAGCCCACTGCCTTGCCAGATGACGCGGTGCTCGCTGTCGAGCCAAATGACTTGATGCCTGGTGACCCGATGCCCGCTGTCCAGTCAGACGATCCAATGTCTGACCCAGTGCCCCGCGGTCATACACCAGTTGACTCGGAGCCCACTGCCTTGCCAGATGACGCGGTGCCCGCTGTCGAGCCAAATGACCTGATGCCTGGTGACCCGATGCCCGCTGTCCAGCCAGACGATCCAATGTCTGACCCAGTGCCAGCGGTCATGCCAGTTGACTCGGAGCCCACTGTCGTGCCTGGTGACTCGGTGCCCGCCGCTTCGCCTGGGGGCCCCAGAGCTGTCGCTCCGCCTGGGGGTCCCGCGCCCGCCGCCCCGCCTGGGGGCCCGAGACCTGTCGCTCCGCCTGAGGGCCCGAGACCTGTCGCTCCGCCTGGGGGTCCAGCGCCCGCCGCCCCGCCTGGGGGCCCGAGAGCTGTCGCTCCGCCTGGGGGTCCGGCGCCCGCCGCCGCCCCGCCTGGGGGCCCGAGACCTGTCGCTCCGCCTGAGGGCCCGAGACCTGTCGCTCCGCCTGGGGGTCCAGCGCCCGCCGCTCCGCCTGAGGGCCCGAGGCCTGTCGCTCTGCCTGGGGGTTCGGGCGCCCGCCGCCCCGTCTGAGGGCCCGAGACCTGTCGCTCTGCCTGGGAGTCCGGCGCCCGCCGCTCCGCCTGAGGGCCCGAGACCTGTCGCTCCGCCTGAGGGCCCGAGACCTGTCGCTCCGCCTGGGGGTCCAGCGCCCGCCGCTCCGCCTGAGGGCCCGAGGCCTGTCGCTCTGCCTGGGGGTTCGGCGCCCGCCCGCCCCGTCTGAGGGCCCGAGACCTGTCGCTCTGCCTGGGAGTCCGGCGCCCGCCGCTCCGCCTGAGGGCCCGAGACCTGTCGCTCCGCCTGGGGGTCCGGCGCCGCCGCTCCGCCTGAGGGCCCGAGACCTGTCGCTCCGCCTGGGGGTCCGGCGCCCCGCCGCTCCGCCTGAGGGCCCGAGGCCTGTCGCTCCGCCTGGGGGTTCGGCACCCGCCGCCCCGTCTGAGGGCCCGAGACCTGTTGCTCCGCCTGGGGGTCTGGCGCCCGCCGCCCCGCCTGAGGGCCCGAGACCTGTCGCTCCACCTGGGGGTCCGGCGCCCGCCGCTCCGCCTGAGGGCCCGAGACCTGTCGCTCCACCTGGGGTCCGGCGCCCGCCGCTTTGCCTGAGGGCCCGAGAGCTGTCGCTCCACCTGGGGGTCCGGCGCCCGCCGCTCCGCCTGAGGGCCCGAGACCTGTCGCTCCATCTGGGGGTCCGGCGCCCTCCGCTGCCTGTCGCCCCGCCTGGGGGCCCGCGATGCCTGTCGCCCCGCCTGGGGGTCCGGCGGCCCGCCGCCCCGCCTGGGGGGCCGATGCCCGTCGCCCCGCCTGGGGGGGCCCGATGCCCGTCGCCCCGCCTGGGGGCCCGAGAGCTGTCGCTCGCTCCGCCTGGGGGTCCGGCGCCCGCCGCTCCGCCTGGGGGTCCGGCGCCCGCCGCCCCGCCTGGGGGCCCAAGACCTGTCGCTCCGCCTGAGGGCCCGAGACCTGTCGCTCCGTCTGGGGGTCCGGCGCCCGCCGCTCCGCCTGAGGGCCCAAGGCCTGTCGCTCGCCTGGGGGTTCGGCGCCCGCCGCCCCGCCTGAGGGCCCGAGACCTGTCGCTCCGCCTGGGGGTCCTGCGCCCCGCCGCTCCGCCTGGGGGTCCGGCGCCCGCCGCCCCGCCTGGGGGCCCAAGACCTGTCGCTCTACCTGAGGGCCCGAGACCTGTCGCTCCGCCTGGGGGTCCTGCGCCCGCCGCTCCGCCTGGGGGTCCGGCGCCCTCCGCTCCGCCTGGGGGCCCGATGCCCGTTGCCCCGCCTGGGGGTCCGGCGCCCGCCGCCCCACCTGGGGGCCCGATGCCCGTCGCCCCGCCTGGGGGCCCGATGCCCGTCGCCCCGCCTGGGGGCCCGGCGCCCCGCCTGGGGGCCCGGCGCCTGCCGCTCCGCCTGGGGGCCCGCCGCTCCACCTGGGGGCCCGGTGCCTGTCGCCCCGCCCGGGGGCCCGGTGCCTGTCGCCCCGCCCGGGGGCCCGGTGCCTGTCGCCCCGCCCGGGGGCCCGCTGCCTGTCGCCCCGCCCGGGGGCCCGCTGCCTGTCGCCCCGCCCGGGGGGCCCGCTGCCTGCTGCTCGGCCCGGGGGCCCAGTGCCCGCTGCTCCGCACGGGGGCCCGGTGCCTGCTGCTCCGCCTGGTGGCCCACTGCCTGCTGCTTCGCCTGGTAATCCGATGTGCCTGCCCGGAGTCCTGCCCGATGTGCCTCTGCCCGGAGTCCTGCCCGATGTGCCTCTGCCCGGAGTCCTGCCCGATGTGCCTCTGCCCGGAGTCCAGCCCGATGTGCCTCTGCCCGGTGTGCCTCTGCCCGATGTGCCTCTGCCCGGAGTCCAGCCCGGTGTGCCGCTGCCCGGAGTCCTGCCCGGTGTGCCAGTCTTTGATATCCCGCCAGTTACCAGACCCGGGCGGTGGAACATTTTGCCCAGCTAGGACTGTTTGGAGCGTCCTGAGGCCGCTCCTTGAGGGGGGGGTACTGTCAGGAATGGACTGGCCAGCAATGGTGGGACTCACCTGCCTTTTGATCTGCAGTACCAGGGCTGGCCAGCGGGTGCTCCCAGCAATCAGAGACTCAACCTTTCAGCCAGCTAACACCTGGAACTGATGATACTGGTGTATTTAAGGGATGGCCAGACTTGCAGACTCTGCCTTGGTGTTGTGTTTGTCCTGGGCCCTGTATCTGTCCTGCATCCTGTTTCTGTTCCTTTGCTGACCCTGCCTGATCTGAACCGCTGCTGACTTCTCCTGCTCTGATCCCGGCTCGCTCCTGACCATCCCTCTGCCTGACCCTCTGTACCACGCTGCTTGCTACCTGTTCTGATCCCTGGCTTGTGACCCTGACCATCCCTCTGCCTGACCCTCTGTACCACGCTGCTAGCTACCTGTTCTGATCTCTGGCTTGTGACCCTGACCATCCCTCTGCCTGACCCTCTGTACTACGCTGCTAGCTACCTGCTGAACCTGGCCTGTGACCCCGACCCATCTCCGCTTGCTCCCCCTGTACCTACCTGCCCTATTGATATTGACCCGGCCTGCCTGACGACGCTTGCTTGTATGTACTGTTATCTGTGGGTGGTTGGTTTGGTTTGTTTGCACTGTATTATGTTTTAGTATTGCACTGCGTTTATGTTTGTATGGTTAGTGTTAATAAATTATATTGTTTATCACATATCTGAAGTCTGCGTTTCCCTGTGTCAGTCACACACCTCTGGTCACACCTGGGAGCCCTGACACAGGGTCCCCATGATCCCCTATTGCCCGGGGGCCCCATAAGTTCTCAGTCTGCCCCTGCTTCTAATGCTGGACATAAAATGCCCCCACCCCCAAAATGACCCCTTTTTGTAAAGTAGACACCTCAAACTATTTGCTGAGAGGCATGTTGAATCAATAGAAGAATTTGTTTTTTTGCCACAAATTTTTTCAAAATAATATGCCTCTTTTTAAATTCCTTGGGGTGTCTACTTTCCAAAAAGGGGTCATTTGGGGGGGGGGGGGGGGGGGGGGGTTGGTGCTATCCTGGCATTTCAGGGCCTCCGAAACTGTGATAGGTAGTGAAGAAGTAAAATGAGGAAGTTGCGCACCTTCAGGCTTTCAAAGTGGTCATTGTATTTCAGGTTCCTGTATATGGCTAATCTCCCAAAAAGTCTCACAAATGTGGTACCCCCCATACTTGGTAGAAGTAGCAGAATGTATTTTAGGGTATAATTTTACATATACCCATGGCTTGTGCGAGAAATATATCATTTAAATGACAACTTTGTGTAAAAAAAAAAATAAATATTTGTCATATTCCAGAAACTTGTGGAAAAAAATAAATCTTCCATGGACTCAATATGCCTCTCAGCAGATAGCTTAGGGTGTCTACTTTCCGAAAAGGGGTCATTTGGGGGTATTTGTACTATCCTGGCAATTTAGCACCTCAAGAAATGTGATGAGCAGTCAGAAAGTAAAAGCTGTGTAAATTCAATTATCTGTACAGTATATAGTTTGTAGATGCTATAACTTTCACACAAAGCAATAAATATACACTTATTGGGATTTTTTAAATCAAAAACATGTAGCAGAATACATTTTGGCCTAAATGTATGATGAAATTTTCGATTTTTTGGATATTTTTTATGACAGAAATGAGAAAATTGTTTTAAAAAAAAAAAAAAAAATTCTCAATTTTTTTTTCGTTTATAGCGCCAAAAATAAAAGCGCACAGTTGATCAAATACCAGCAAAAGAAAGCTCTATTTGTGTGAAAAAAAGGACATAAATGTCATTTATGTACCTTGTTGCACAATTGACTACACAATTGTCAGTTAAACTAGTGCAGCACTGTATAGCAAAAAAATGGCATAAATTGCAGTATCTATACCGTAGTTTGTAGACGCTATAACGTTCACACAAAGCAATCAATATACACTTATTGGGATTTTTTTTACTAAAAACATGTAGCAGAATACATTTTGGTCTAAATTTATAACTAACTTTAAGTTTACTATATAGTTTTTGTAGCTGAAAGTAAAAAATATAGTTTTTTTTCAAAATTTTCAGTATATTTTGTTTATAGCGTGTAAAATAAAAAGCGCACATGATCAAATACCACCGAAAGAAAGCTCTATTTATGTGAAAAGAAGGACGTAAATTTTGTTTGGGTACAGCATTGCATGACCGTGCAATTGTCAGTTGAATTAGTGCAGCGCCAAGTAGCAAAAAGAGGCCTGGTCATTAAGGGAGGTAAATCCTCTAGAGAGTGGTTAAGTAGAAACTGAGTCTTTAAACCTTTACCATTCATGGCAATGTTGATATTTTTCACATACATGTTAAAATCATCATTTTCTTTGCTAAAAAATTACTGGAGGTAACTCCAGGCATTACCCCTCCAGCCATTACCCCTGTCTCTCCCAGGATTCCCTATCCCATCCCTGCTCCGATTACATCTGTAATTGGCCCCCCAAGTACACCTCACTTGCACACCCATCCATCACTTTCACCTGCACATTTTCACAACCACATCACCCAAAAACTCCACAGACCCCCTTTTCACACACCAGCACAGCATCCTCATCCACTCCCAGCATCCCATCTACTGAAGAGTGTGGCCCCAAAACATTTAAGGATTTATATTGTTTTGGTTTGTCATGTTAAAAAAATGTTATTATTTTGTTTAGGCCTTACGTTATAGGCCTTTGAAATTTTTCTACATAGGAGACAACATGTTCACTTGCTGCCTAATATATCCCACTCACATTCTGGTGACATTGTAACAAGGTAATCAATGTTATTCACTTTATGTATATCTTTTTTTTTTGGGGGGGGGGGGGGTGATATGCAGTAAAAAATCATCTGTGTTATATTTGGGAATAATATAGTTTGGTAAAAAAAAAAAAACTCAGGTTTTTGATATTTATTACTTTGATCCCATGTGGATGTATTTGGTATTGCATTGCTTGCAAGAGGGCCCTAGATTAAAATAATTTTAGTGTCCCAATAAAAAAAAGGATATCAATGATACTTGAACATTACCTTAAGGTGATTTTTAATCTTTCAACAGGCTGCACATTATTTCAGAAAGATGTGTTCTGACTCTTGAGATGGCTGGATAGTAATCCCAACAATTTTTCAAAACTGGAAATGCAAAAATATGGTTATTAGTTACATTCACACTGGCAGAAGTAGAATGCAATGACAGGCTTATGGTGGCTACAGCCTGTTTGCAACGCCAGCAATTTGGGATGATGGTGGCTGGAAGCAGACAAAAAGTGAGCAAAAACTACAAGACACAACATTACTTTGCACATGCACATTTGAAAAAGGTGACAGCGTCATATGAGGATACACATATGTACTCTCCTATTCAATGACATGCATGTATATTTGTAGAAAATTTCTGCATGTGCACAGAGGTCATTATACATGACCCTCAATTGGCTTCTCTGTTCCCTATTTGCAATCACTTGTATCAATATTTCACTTAGGAATTTGATACAGTACCCCAAAACGCTTAATTTAAAAATTAAAGTCTTTTGGCATTGATGCTCTCACCTACACCTGGATATAAATTTATTAGTGTGACAGTATCTTTGTGCAGCCATAAAATGCAGGCTTCCTTGGAAAACTCTTTTTCTTTCTTCTTTGGATTTACCACTGATATTGGAAGTCCTGAAGAGTCCTCCATTAGAATCGTGTTCC